TCAACCACACAAGGCAAGCAGGACAGTTACTACTGGTGGGATTATCATCTGATTAAACGTCTGTGGAAAACAGCATAGAAAGTCCTTGAAACAGTAAGTATAGAACTTTCATAAAACTAGTGATTCCACTTCTTGGCATCTACTCCCCAAATTAAAAAAAACAAAGCATTAATTTGAAAAAATATGTGCACATTTACATCATTACAACGCTTGGTATACCATAACCAGAATATGGAAACAACTCAAAGGTCCAATGACAGATGAATGAATAAAGAATTTGTGGTGTATATATACGCAACAAAATACCATGCATTTCTAAGAAAAGAGGAAATCATTTTCATCTCACTGCAACATGAGTGGAACTGGAGGGTTAAGGTTAAGTAAAATAAGTCAGAAGAAGAAGGGAAAATACTGGATAATCTCACACATTTGTGAGAGGTGAAACAAGCAAATAGACCATATCAAGCAATGACGAACCTTTAACCTTGGATTTAAAATCTGAGATTACCAAGTAGTGGGGGAGGGGGTGGGAGGAAGAAGGGGAATGAAGTGGTGGAAAAGAAGTAACACAAGGACAATGGTGGATATTATTGAGCGCTTGGGTCATAATGGGTTGTAGCAATTATGTACATCAATACCATAAAGTTAACCTATTGTAAACTTATTCCAAAATTACAAGAAAACATGAATTCAGTTTTTGTAGAGAAGAAGAAAACTAAGAACTAAAGGATTGTACAACTTTGTCCAAAAATCACATCGTTAACAATAAGATTGGTAGAAAACATAATAAAATCTTCACTGTATCACTGTCATCCTGTTGTTCATCGATTTACTTGAGCGGGCTCCAGTAATGTCTTCATTTGTCCCAGCTCTGAGATTTTAGCAGCCTCTCCTTACTCGTCTTTCCCAATACTGCTGTATTGGAGGCTCTTTCAGGGTCAGGGGAATGAAACCTGTTATTGTTACTGTTTTTGGCATATCGAATTTGTCATGGGTAATAAAATCTTACTATGATTTTTCCTTCTTTTAACTACAGTGGAAAAAAATCTTTGTTTAAGTTGAAGAACACAGTTTTGGAATCAGAAAAGTTCAACTCCATTTATGTACCACGTACCATTGGATGAGATCTTTAATCATCCTATGCATGTTTTTTTTTCTCTGTAGAATGGAAATAATAGTAAGGCACTTGTTCTGCACACAGTTAATACAGATAATGCATCTACAAAACTCCTGGTTGCCTGGGTTCAACCCATAACATTATATATGGTCTCCCAAATTCAACTAGGAATGATCCTATGGCACAGAGCCAAGAGTAAACAGTAAACCCTAAGCACTGACATCTGTGGTGAAGAAGAGGAGGAGAAGGAGGATAGGAGGAAGAAGAGGAAGAGGAATAATAAGGAGAAGGAGAGGAAGAAGGAGAAGGAAGAGGAGGAGAAGGAGGAGAAGGAGGAGGAGGAAGAGAAGAAGGAGAAGGAGAAGGAGAAGAAGAAGAAGAAGAAGAAGAAGAAGAAGAAGAAGAAGAAGAAGAAGAAGAAGAAGAAGAAGAGGAGGAGGAGGAGGAGGAGGAGGAGGAGGAGGAAGAAGAAGAGGAAGAAGAAGAAGAAGAAGAAGAAGAAGAAGAAGAAGAAGAAGAAGAAGAAGAAGAGGAGGAGGAGGAGGAGGAGGAGGAGGAAGAAGAAGAGGAAGAAGAAGAAGAAGAAGAAGAAGATAATGATGATGATGATGATCATCTATGGGATAGTAAGAGTTCCTATTTTATGGATTTTGGAAGATTTCAACGACAAATTAATACAGATAATGCATCTACAAAACTCCTGACACACAATAACAGCTTGCTAAAGTCAGTTGACATATAAATATGCCTTTATCCCAAGTAAGTAACATAGGTAAATTTGCAACAAATAGGTGATATTTCTATCTCGCAGTCACAGTCCTCCTATTGTTGCTCAAGTGGGCCCAGTAATGTCTCCATTGTGACACTTGTTGTTACTGTGTTTGGCATATTGAATACGTCACGGGGAGCTTGCCAGGCTTTGCTGTGCAGGCAAGATACTCTTGGTAGCTTGCCAGGCTCTCCGAGAGGGGCAGAGTAATTGAACCCGGCTAGGCTGGCCAGCTGCACGCAAGGCAAACGCCCTACCGCTGTGCTATTGCTCCAGCCCAACATTTCTATCTATATGATAAAAATTATAATAATAGTAATTCTATATCCCACATCATAGCACACACACACATATATAATATATTATATATATATATATATATATATATATATATAGCACTGTAGCACTGTCCTCCCGTCATTCATAGATTTGCTCGACTGGGCACCAGTAACATCTCCATTGTGAAACTTGTTAGTGTTTTTGGCATATTGAATACACCACAGGGAGCTTGCCAGGCTCTGCCATGTGGTGGGATACTCTCAGTAGTTTGCTTGGCTCTCCGAGTGGGATGGAGGAATCAAACCCAGGTCACATGTGCAAAGCAAATACCCTATCCGCTGTGCTATAAAAGTAAATGGGTAGAAAATTTTAAGAGTTCTCTTTGAGAGAACAAATACATAGCACACTTAGGTAGAACTGGAAAATTCTTCAGTGAGAGAACTGGGTTTCAAAGACAAAAGTTCCTTTTGTTCATGAATATTTTTAAGGAAGTTTGGAACTAAGATTTCTCTTGCATTAACCACAAAGGAAAGTTATGGTACTATTTATCATTTGCATCTGGTAATCTGCTGCTTTCTCTCTTATTAGTGACCAAATGTCATGGAGTGCTTGGGTTTTAACCCATCCAGACGGGTAAGGCTTAAGACCATAAGCAGTTCTTTCCCTCAACAATGCCCCATTTTTTTTTACCTGCCGAACAACCATGAATTAATTATAAGCATTGTCTCCCCAGCAGGTGGTATCTGTGATCTCATGACCATATCAAATTCACCTCCAAAATCAGGCATATTAACAAGTATCCTGCATTTCTAATACAAATGTTTACCACCTGTATATGCGAGGGGTAGGGCTGTCTGAATGCTACTACTATTGATTGAGAAAGTATCTTAGTGTCTTGATGTCTATTGACAGAATTGATGAAGCAGTTCTAAGCAGCCCATTATGGAATGTCAACATAAATTAGCCACACTAGGTCTGACATGAAAGGACTTGTCTCTTCCCAAATAGGACACCCACATGGTCCATTGTACCCATTGCCTTCCAGCAGGCCCTTGGCACTCACCAGTGTCATTGGTTGCTTATGTTGTGGGCTTTTAAGTAGTTCTAATTTTAAGTATTCTCACACAAACATGGACCAAATAAAAATTTTTAAAAAAGAAAAAAATATATGTACTTTTAATCCTGTCTTCACCCAAAATTGGCATAAAAATCCTCTTCTAAGCCATGTGTTCACATCTGAGATTCAGAAAAAGATTCATTGTAATTAAAGACCCAATGACTAGTAAGAGTTAAGGTTAAATGAGAAAGCAAGTTATTTCTCAGCTTCCAAAAAGTCATGTAAGATGCTGTGGGCTGAGGAAAAGCAGATGTCCATGGGCTAAACAAATGAACTAAACCAGCTGCTTTTTTCATGGGAAAAACTTTTACTTGAGGGAGCAACAATCATTCAGAACTGGCTGTTTTGAGAATGCTTTCTTGAAAAATGAAGTAAGCTAACCCTTCAAGGGTAATAAGCAACTTTTAAAGAGTCGTCGAAATTTAAGATGTTAAATAAAAATCAGAATTTTGGAAAACATGCAGCCACAGCTATGTGGCAGGCAAAATTGAGAGATGAATATGGGCCCCGGTGGGTTTGATTAAGAAGCCCAAGGGGAGATGAAAGAAAAGGCTAAGAAATACCTTCCTTGTGAGGAGAGAAAAAAGGAAGGGAGGAAAGGATTGATTAAAGACAAGGAGTCAGTTGTGGGAGGAGAACCAAGAGAGGATCCTAAGAAAAGAGAGGGGGGTGATCAGGAAGGTCAAAGTCCACAGAGCAAGTGAAAGTGTCTGTGTGCAGAAGATGTGAGCACTGGGTAGCAACAGAGTGGCAGGGAGGGGAAGCTGGCGGGTCAGTGGAGACCCAAAGGGAACAGAAAGTATGACACCTTTTTTGAAAAATGTTGACACACTTGGCAGATATATTAAAGAGGGAATTGGGACTGTGAACTGCAGAAGAAATGAGATCAAGATCTACTGGTTTTTGAGGTAACAGCAGGAGACCCCAGCTACAGTTAGACGCTAGAGCTCCCTACTTGAACCCAGAGCCCAGAACTGTGTTTCTAGCCTCTCCTATTATCAACAAATTTTGTGAAACGTCTTTCAGTTTGGAAAATAATTAACTTTCCATTTCTTGGAAACACTTTGAAGAGATAATACTAGTTATAGTCCAAGGCTAGACCATTAGAACCTGGGACCTAATAAAACCTGAGTGGCTTCTACATTAAGGCCTTTCAGCAAGGGGAACACACAGAAATAAACACAACTCTGCTTCCCCAGAGTTGACTGCTATTGTAGGTTCTCAGTGAAAATCTCTACAGAGACCCAAAGGAGTGGTTTTGTGGATGTTTCTGAACCCAATTGTAGAGAAGGACCAGGATCTTATAGGAAGCGGGATTTATTGGGGAGGGATAATGGGAGGTAGGAACTCAGGAAGGGCAGTGCAAAGACTCTGAGAAATACAGTGTCTGCCATTTGCCCAGAGGCCCATAGCTAGTAATATATTTGACCCTATCTGGCATGGACCACATTTTAGGCACCACGATTTCAGACTCAACCACATTAAACATGGTCCCACTTTTTGGCGATGTTCATCTTCTGGTGGCCAGGGAAGTAGAACTCTGCTCAACTCAGAGCCTCAGCAATGTTCCTTGTGCAGCATAGAGCAGATGGACATGATAACTTGGCCAATGTGGGACCTAGTTTCTGGGCTCTGGGGCTTTTCCAGGGAACTGCATGCCTGCCTGGAGCCTAAGACAGGAAACAGCATAAATGCAGAGTTGAACGTCCATTACAAAGGACTATCTCCAAGGTTCCTGTGGAGCACCCAAACCAGCAACAGGATGCAAACATACCCATGGAGAATACTATTTGCAGTTATTGCCATATATCCAACTCCCACCAGAAAAAGCACATAGGCTGAATTGACTGCAGAAAACTAGACTTTATATCGCTTATTCATTATAATCTGTTACCGCAGGAAAATCAAATTTAAATGTATAAATAAGCACACATGTCCAGCTTTTACAACAAGATGCAGCAAACAAGATTAAATTTCAGTAACTATAATCTGTAATTGTAATTTAGGAAATAAAAAATTATAAGAACTGCACATATTGATTGAAATTATGCAAACATATGTCTAACAGGAAAGTCACTACACACTTGAACATATTTTTCTGTAAAAATGTAAACATCAAAACTTTATTAGTACAATTACTCATATTTAATACTTTTACTCACACTTTGAACAATACAATAATATAAACACTGACATTTTTAATGTAATAATGGGCTTGCTTCTATTTCTTAACTCTTTTTTATCCAAGTTTGCTCGAGCGGGCCCAGTAACGTCTCCAATGGAGACTTTGTTGTTACTGTGTCTGGCATATCGAATACTCTCGGTAGCTTGCCGGGCTCTCCGAGAGGGGCGGAGGAATCGAACTCGGGTCGGCCATGTTGGCCGCTTGTAAGGCGAACGCCCTACCCGCTGTGCTATCGCTCCAGCCCTTTATCCAAGTTAGCTGGTGATATATTATTAAAGGGATAATATATAATTTCTTTGTTTTGTTTTAGTAACACTAAATTAGTCTCCCAGAAGTTTGTTGTTTACTATAAGGAGAAGGAGATTTGGGGGGTTGAGCCACACCCAATAGTGCTCAGGTATTACTCCTGGCTCCATGCCTAGCGATCATCCCTGATGGTTCTAGGGGGTATAATATGTGGTATTGAATCAGGGTCTACTGCATTCAAGGCAAGCACTTCAACCTCTTAGCTATCTAGCCCTGAAGAGGAGATTTAACAAAGCAATTGCAATGATACTTGTTTTGAACTTTAAATACAAAATTAAGCAAGTTACACTACATTTTCAAAATTCCACTTCAATCTTTCAACAGTTTCCAGTTATGACAAAATAAACCATACAGTTGAGGTTACATGTAAATTATCTTTTGATTAAAGAAATAGAAGGTAAATCTATGAATTGCCTTTGCTTGGGTTTTTACTTGATGGAAATAAAATTTTAAAACAGAGTGTCAAATATAATAAGTATTCAGTGATAACCAGAGAAGTGCAGTAACATATCATCACTTTACTGATAATGGCTCTTATATCAGATAATGTGCCCTAGAAATCTGCAGCAACTCAATTCTTCAAGATTCAAACTCTGTTTTTTCTGTACTCAGACCTTATCTATTATTGGGCCTAGGGGTTAACACTGCCTTACCTCTTCATGGAAGTATTATAATAATTAAAATCATCAGAGTATCAGCCAAGTAAGTAAGTCTCGTAATCCAATTCATTGGTTTAAAATGATGACCCAAATGGTTACTAATCTTGTAAAATAGCTAAAAGCTCATTTTTCTAATCCTGCGGTTTCTCAGCATTTTCTAACTTTCATGTTACAATGAATAAAGGAACTTCAGATTATTGCAGGATGTAATATCTGGTCTTCTCACAAGAAACCAGTGAGTAGCTTGCCTTCATTTTTTATTCAACAGAACAAGTCCAATCAGCAATGTCCAAAGGTCTGTAGAACTTTGTGACAACTCGCGCTTGGGTTTCGTAATTACTTACCCCAAGTAGAGCACCATCACTGCACTGCCCAGCCAGACAGCTCTGTTCTAGATACTGATACTTTATTAAAGTCCAGTTTAATCTCTCCCTCTTCCTTTCCCTTCCCATTCCAACTCCTCATCTTCTTTCTTAGTTTACAACCTACTTCTCAATATTTGTCCCCTCTGGGCAAATCCCTCTGGGTAAACTACTCCTCATACCTTCAGCCTCTCATGTTTTCATAGGCCAATAAGAATATAACTTGCTAGAACAGCATCTAACTACTAAAAACTTTTAAGGGGTCCTCAAGTGATAGCATGTATGCTTGGTATGTAGGAGGCTCTGAATTCACTCCCTGGTGCCCTGACACTGTTGGGTACGGCCCAGGTAATGGATAATCTAACCGTGGTAGCACATGGACCCCCCGCCCCCCGCCAACTAGCCCTGTGAACTCCCAACACATGAGGACGTTGGCAGCTCAATCTCCTTGGCCCCTAAGTATTGGACCATCTGCCTGTGACCAAAATTTTGTGTGAAGTAGTCACCTTGAGCACTGAGCAGTTCCCCCCAAAAAATGATTCTAGGTCTGAAATTTTCTTCTTGCTATTCAACTATTATTGAGAATAAGCATACAACTTTATACACGTACTAATATTGAAATGTGTAAATACAGATCTAGTTGGAAATTAGAGCTACCTTCTCACTTTTGTGTTTTCATCATATTATTTGCTTTGCTCCTGACTCTTCAATTATATGGATATTTTCAATCAAACAAAATTAGTATAGTCCCTGCTCTTCACAAATTCTCTAATTCACAAGTTCACATTTCTCTGATTCAAATGTCAATCAAATTTCCTGATTGAGATGAGAATAAACTCTCTGATTCACCAGTTCACAAACTCCAAAGACCACTAGTGACCCTGTACCCACTCGGGGATTTAGTTGGGAGAAGGGAGGAGTTAGACCACACCCTGCAGTGCTCAGGGCCCACACCTGGCTCAGTGCTCAAGCATCATTCCTGGTGATGTGCAGGGACCATATGTGGCACCAGGGATCAAACCAGTACCAGCCACATGCAAGGCAAGTATCTTACCTCCTATACCTCCTATGCCTTATCCCCCTTTCCTTATATGAAAATAAAATATTTTTCATTCTTTGAAAAAAAATATTTTTCATTCTTAGCAACTAAAAAGAGGAGGCTGAGAGAGTACAGGGGTTAAGACACTTACCTTGTATCCTACTGACCCAGCTCGATCCCTGGCACAGCATATAGTTCCCTGAGCACTGTCAGGGGTCACTCCTGAGCCTAGAGCGAGGAGTAGCCTCAACCCTCCCCCACTACATACACACACCCCAAATGGAGCACAATTCAATAAACATTTTTTAGTGTTCACTAAACTATATTATGTGATACACTAGGGGAAAAAAACATCATAGACCAAGAGAACTAGATCACTCACATTTCCCCGGGACTCTATCAGTGATTTATAATAAATCCCCTGCAGAAGTTAAGAAAAAATTATCAAAAATTATTAAGAAAAAAGTTATCAAGATTCAAATAGAAAATTAGCCCTCCCAAATGATCAGGACGTTCATCAGAAAATAAATTTAAAATGTTCCAACCCGCGGAGGAAAAAATATTCATTTTCATTCGCCAAAGAAATAAATGCTTGTTTTAGACATTTTCGGGTCTTTGTTCCTATATATGAGTTATTGGAAACCCCAAGCCACGCTGTGGTTTCCTGTACTTGGCGACGAGATGAGACTGGTTCTCCCAGAGCCAGGGGTGGTAATGTAAATGGGAACAAATGTTGACATTTCAGAGCCTCTTCTAATTTCCACAAATATTTATGAAATGCCCATTGCTTCTTGCATCACGGAGTAAATTGCACCCCTGCTGCCCAGACCTTAGCTGAGCTGCAGTCTAATCTCCTGTTGACTGCAGGCTGACTTCCTTATATTCCGCACTGTTTCCAGTGACGCACGCGCTCCTCACTGGGTAACCGGTGCCCTGTGAAATGATGTCAGGAGGCTCGGACACCTTTCATTCCTGCCTATCACCAAATCTCATGGGCAAAGAGGATCAGTAAACTGTCAAAAGGGTCTTCCCTAACTTAGAGCTAGGCACACAGGGTGATGACAGGTGTTGGGTAAACATTGCCCAACATCCTCCTTTGGGGTGCTTGCAAAACAGGAAAGCCCCAGTTTCTGTTTAAAAAAAAAAAAAAGCAGTGATAGAGGCGTCTTTCAGCCAAAGCATTTTTAAAATGTCATTTCTGGCGTTCTCTTGCCAGATGACTTCAGACAATATTAATAAATAACTTTGCAAAGTCTGCCCTCTCCTGTTCATCGATAGCAAATGCAGCCTGTAACAGCAGGTTTATTTTGCTTTGAAGTGAAACTGCGGATGTTTCACCTTCTTCGAATGAACAGTTTTAAATATATCAGGTGATAGTGTATGGTTTTACATGTGTAAACCATTTAATATTTTCTATAATACAATGGAGCAAAGTGCTTTTATTCTTACTTCCTAGTAGAGGATGTGCTCAGAGAAGTTAAGGAACTTCACTAAGACACACAGCTGGGAAGTTAAAGTTCTGGATTGTGATGCGAGTCTGTCTAAGTTTCTGCAAGGTCACATTGCCTCCAACATGCTTATACTATGATCATTTATTAATCATATACATCCAGATGATGACTATACCTATTTATTTCAGAAAACCATTGGGACACACTTTCACACCCAACACTGATCACATCCACCGACAGGCTGGCCCAGGAGGACCAGGGCATGGGCAAAAGTTTGCTTTTATCATCGTGTATCTACTTCCTTGGTCAAGTGGAAGGTCAGGCCACAGAGCTGATAAACTACCTATGAACTACCCACCAGACCGGGTGTCTGTTCTGGGGACCATGAGGGAGCCTCTCAGTGTGAATATTAATGTACCGGGGACACTTATGCAGGAAGAACTACCTAGTGCCACACTGGAACCCTCAGGCAGCCTGGCCTCAGCAAACCACCGCCCTTCCTGGTGACAGCAGAGGCCACAAGCCACTTCAGCACCTGTCTGTGCAGTGGGTGTGGAGTGCGCCTGTGCCACTGGGGGCCCATGTTTGTCCTCAGTGATTCACTTCTAGGACCCTCTGGGTTGCCAAGGAGAGCAGTGGAAGAATGAGAGAGATAGAGAGAAATAGAGAGAGGGAGAGAAAAGGAGAGAGAGAGAGAGGAAAAGAGGGAGAGGAAGGGAGAGAGAGACAGAGGGAGACAGAGGGAGAAAGAAGGAGAGAGGGGGGAGAGGGGGAGAGAGAAACAGGGAAAGAGAGGGGGAGAGAGGGGGGAGAGGGAGAGAGGAAGAGGGAGAGAGAGGGAGAGAGGAAGA